CAATTAATCCTTCATCAATTCTCTCTAATGATCCAGTAAATAGACTACCAAGAATATCAGCGCCCAAAAGAAGAGAGATTTCAGTGATATTTGAGCTAGAGTCTGAAATAATTATGTTTTTCTCACACAAATACCTTATCAAGGCAGTATTCTCTAACTTTGGTATATTGTTGCAAATTCTTGATTGTTCCAAAAAATTATGAGTTATTTCGAATGATTTGTTCAAGCTTTGAATCGACACTTTGATAAATGATGTACTTGGGGTGCTAGTTCTGTTCCCCCAAAAACACCCTGTACTATGATTTCTTCGCCGATTTTCATAAAATTCATATTTTTTGCGCATTCTGATAAAATGTAGGACCTTTGCGAACCTGAATCTAATAATGCTCTCACTATCTTTGTTTCATTATCTTGAATAAGTCGAACAACCAAAGTCTGTAGTAAAGTTTCTGTTTGTCTGTGAGTAACATTGGTAGTCAGAACATTTTCTACATTACTCCTATTTCCTTTATCAATGCCAAGCTTATTCATTCCATGAGTTTCACTGATTTTTTCAACAGATTTATCTACATATAAGTCGGGACACATGATTGGAAAGTGTTTTCTGCCACAAATTAAACATTTAACATAGATTCTGCACTTCTTTATATTATGATTTGGTCTGAGACATCCCAAACAACAGTTTTTCTTGAATACCAAATCTCTTTTTTCTTCGTAAGTTAATTTTTGTGCCTTCATGCAGTCCTGACTTGAATGTGTATTGTTACAAAAAATACATGAGAAATTAGGTCTCTTACCATCTCTCAACATCTTATCAGATGAAAAAATAGTAGCGGCTGTACTCATACTTTGTTCATTGTCCTCACCTCGCTGATTCCTGATGGATTTACTTGTGCTGTGTACCTTACTGTTCTCTCTGGCCGACGTGAAACTCTTTTGTGCTAGGTTAATTCTCTCTTCACTTTCGACCTCGGTTTTCAGAAAATCTAACAACATATTAAGGTGATTAGTCGAATCCTTGCTGCCTTGTGATGATTTCAAAAAAGAGCTGCGATGTCTCTCCCACACTCGCAAAATATCTTCAGGAAGAACTGACTCTACTAACGGAAATAACATGGCTGCGTATTTGTCACTAGTAACTCCTAAAGTTTCGAGTGCTCTTAATTGAGTTTCTAATTGATCGAATAATCGGGAAAGAGACATACCTGTTTTATTGTTAGACGATTGTTTTAAGACAAGATTTAGAAGTTCTCGAACATAGACTTCTATCAGAAATTCGTCCCTAGCAAACCTGTTCTTGAGCTGGTTCAAAGCCTTCACATAATTTTCTCCAGATGGTGGAAAGCTTTCAACTAAACTCCTAGCCTGTGACCCTTCTTCCATTGCTTGAAGCATGTACTGGAACTTATCTTCATTATCTATGGTCTCGTCTTCGTCGATCTTTTTGAATTGGCCCCAGAATCCGATCCAGTTACGTACATCACCATTGAATTTCTTCAGTTCTATTCTTGGGAGTCGAAAATTTCTCTTTGTACTTGACTTTCCACTGACACTCATGACATCGGTTGACTTTGAATGGTTATTGAGTGTATAATATCCCTTTGCCTTGAATCTGATCAGTTCATTTCTATATAGTTCAACAGATTCCCATTCATCTTCGAATTCTTCATCGCTTATCTTTTTCTTCATGAGTTCTTAGGCGATATTTTCATCCAAAATTGATATTCTTTTAGCTTTGTCTTCTAGTTGGTCAAGAAGTACGGCAATCTCTTCTTTCTGGATCGATTTTTCACTCGAGACTATTTCCAAATTTGTAATAATCTTCCGAAACACCTGTCTCAAGAAAGCTCGTTCTTTGTTCAGTATCTCGAAATCACACATTCTGCAGTCCTGTCACGGTCGCCAAATAATGTAGCAAATGAATAGATACGAGAAGAGCGTAATTAGGTGTTTTGTAGCTTTTAAAGATTTATTACTCAGAACTTGATTGACAATATCAAAAATTCAAAATCAATTCAATTGTATCAATTAAAAAATACTCATGACAACGACATAATATACAAAGTGATCAGCTCCAGATCCAACACTAACGATCCTGATAGAATTCCACCCATCATCCCCAACAAATGTGCACCAGAATTAACACCGATTCTCTGCAAGTTGTTTACCATCTCGTACAGGTCGGGTATTTCTTCATCATGCTGAAAGACAGCTAGAGTCCAACCAATCCCCAAAAAAGGGAACAAGAACCTGCCCAACAACTACAGGCCAATTGCCCTGTTATCAGAAATCTCCAAAGTGATGAAGAAAGCCATCAATATTGAGCTTATCAAATATCTGGAGAGCTCAGGAATCATCAATGATAGACAATACGGCTTTCGCCACCGAAGATCTACTGGAGTTCTACTTACCTACGTCACCCATTTTCGACAATCTCCAATAGAAAATCACAGGGAATATCTAGCTGTCGGGTTAGACATATCGAAAGCATTCGACCGTGTTTGGCACGAAGGACTCCTCCACAAACTACCATCACACGGCTTACCACCTCAGCTATGCCATCTCTTATCGAGTTTCCTTTCAGGCAGATCGCTTCACGTGGTGGTGGACGGTGTATCGTCTGATACCATTGGCATCAATTCCGGCGTTCCACAAGGATCAATTTTGGCACCAACATTATTCCTGCTCCTTATAAATGATCTGTTGGGAGTAACAACTTGCCTCATCCACAGCTTAGCAGATGATAGTACCCTCCATACTGCGTTCTCTTCCAGAATTCCCATTTCTTCCTAGGAAACTAAGAACTCACGGCGCAGGCAGGTCAATGCTGTCAATGAAGATCTTGCTGGAATCACAGCCTGGGGAACCAACATCCTAGTTGAATTCAACGCCACCAATACTCAAGCCTGCATTTTCCCTAGAAAGGCGGAACTCAGTATGCCCGATATTGTGATGTCTCGCCTGACCATCCCCACCATATCTTTGCTCGGTATTTCTATCAGCAACACTCTTTCATGGGATAATCATGTCAGATCCATCGCAAAAGCTGCTTCACAAAAACTCGGATTCTTGTTCCGTCCGAAAAGCAACTTTACACCTCAACAGCTTCTTATGATCTACAAAGCGCAAATACGGTCTGTTCTAGAATTCTGTTCCCACATATGAGGTTCAGCACCAAAACATACGCTGATGCTCTTAGGTTCCATCCAGAAAAGAGCCATTCGCCTGGTGGGTGACGCCACACTCACTCACTCTTCGATATCATTGGAACACCGTAGAAAGGTCGACGACTTTTCACTTCTCTATCGATACTTCCACGGGAAATGTTCTTCGGAAATCTCTGCTATCATCCCTTCACTAGCAATACCAATCAGACGAACTAGACAAGCCCAGTCAGCACATCCTCTCGTTGTCAACCTCGAAAGATGTCGAACAGCACTTTATCAAGACTCCTCCATCCATAGAACGGCTAGGCTCTGGAATTCATTGCCTGTGGAAGTATTCCCAACAACATATATTCTCCAAAAGTTCAAAAAAAATCCAAATACCTACCTCCTGCCCCTATCCTCCCTAGGAACGCACGATGTTCTTTGAACAATAAAGGGATTCCCTTTTGTGCACTCCAAGCGAGAAAAAAAAAAGAAGTAGCTGGCTCGAAATAATCGAACCAGTACGGGCAGTATCTCCTCGATTTCCTGTTGTAGGGCAGCCGGTATAATGCCGTCACCACCTGGAGCTTTGTAGGCTTAAATGTGCTGATAGCCCACCGAATTTTGTTAATTGTGAAGATTTTACCTGATGAGCTTTTTTCGCGGTTGGAGGGACGATGTGCGTTCCTCACATCCGGATAGCCTACTTGCAGGTTGTCGTCACTGATGCTTCCAGGGAAGTGAGTGTTTATTAGCAGTCTCAAGCTTTCCTCCGAATTTTGCGTGTAGATACCGTCCGAATTTCGGAACAGACCAATTCCGTTTGAGTGGTCTTTCGAGAGGATTTTTTGTGAACGGGTTGCTGGCGGGACTTCAAAGATCCCTTCACAGAACCTCCTCCACGTTGATCTCTTGGATTTCCTCAATTCTCCGTTGTACTCTGTCAAGGCCTTCTTGTGTTCGTCCCAGTTGCCTGTACGTTTTTACCTATTGAAGAGTCGTCTGGCTTCAGCTCTAAGTGCACTGAGCCGTTTGTTCCACCAAGATACATTTCGGTTCGATACCTTTTGTTTCACAGGACAGCTCAGCTCATAAGATTTCATTATGAGATGTTGAAGTTGCGTCGAAACCTGCTCCAGATCCTGGATTGTTTCAATGCTAGTGTTTAGGTCCTCAACTTCCGAATTCAGGCATTCACGGTATGTGTTCCAATCGGTCAGTTTCGGATTCCTATATTCTGTGATAATCGTCCCTTTTGCCTCTATATCGAATCTAATGTGATTATGATCCGACAGTGAGGTTTTATCGGGGACGTGCCAGTTGAGAATTTAATGGTTTATAGACTGACTGGCCAAGATCAAGTCCAAGACCTCTTGCCTTATACTGTTTATAAAGGTTGCTTTATTTCCTTTATTGATTATATCTATGTTGTTGGACGAAAGATATTCAAGTCGGAACTCACCTCTTTTGTTGATGTTGGTACTTCCTCAAATGGTGTGGTGCGCATTGGCGTCACAAACGATGATGAAAGGTTTGTTTCTTCTGCGACAGTGATTGATGAGTCTTGCGACTTCTGCAGGAGGTGGTTGTTTCGTGTCATCACCAGGAAAGTGAGCCAAGGCCTAAATAACCTCTTGCTCACCTCCCTCAGTCGGCACTTCTGCTGCTACTGCTACCAAGTCTCTGTTAGTAAACTTTTGAACAGAAATGGAATTAGTGTTTTTGCAGAGCAGCAACTTCCATGGGTCCAAGGCTCTTAGATGGAGGCTACGTTGAGCCTTTCGCAAATGAACCTTTTGCTAAGCACGTCCGAAGCAGCTCTTGCATCATGAAGGTTCATTTGCTGGCAGCCTATTTTTTCGAAGCCTTCGACTTCTTGGGGGGAACTTTGGCCCCTTTGTTTTTGAGCTTCTTGTTGCTCGATGGTGTTGGAGTTGGTTGGATGGGCTTCTTTGGTGCCCTTGTCTCGTCCAGACTTGAGAGTCCACTAGGGCCTGGTGCCCCAATTGTCGCCAGGAGCTGATCTATAGCCTTAGAGGCCGGAGCCTCTGAGGTAGAAGACCCCTGCTCCATTGGAACAGACGTGGCAACCTCCCCAGCTTCCTTAGGTGGGTTGTTCTTCGGCCGGAGTGAGACTTGGCCAAACTTGTTATCCACCCGTGAGCCTCTCTTTTTCAATATTTCAAAGGATTTGAGGTCCATCGAAATAGTGAGCTCAGCAGAACTTTCCTCGTTGGACCTACGGAGAACCCTCCAGTCCGTTGGATTCAGACCTTCGTTCTGGGGTTCGACGAAACTCAGAATCCCTTTCGTCGAATCGTCCTTACTGGCTGGGAAGTATCCCACTACAATCTGGGCGCGAGGGATATCAAATTCCTCTAGCACCCTAAGCGATGCCCCTTCCCAGGGTGTTAGTTCTCCTGCTATGTCAATTAGCAACTCCGAGGTGGCTTCATTGGCACAGATCAGAACAAGTTAGCCTGGTTTGTAGGTGGTGCCCAGGAAGGAAGGTTTCACATCTCCTTTCTTGTTCTCCATTATTTTCCCAAGAATTGCTTTCTGGAGGGCATCTAGTTGCTCCGTACTCAGAAGAGCTTCCGAGAATCTTCACGCCACGATACCCACTCTAACGCTTTCAGCAACTTGCCTGAACGTTTGCCGTGAGGGGGGGGCACTGGATGCTCCTTTATATCTTTGGCACGTTTCGGAGGCGCTTTGTCAGGGGTGCTGCCCTCTGACCTATTCCTCTTGGAGGTAGACTTACCAGAGGGTTTCGCTGCCTCTATTGGCTTTAAGGCAAGACGGGCTCTTCTAGAGAGTGTCATTATTTTACCAGCCATTTGAAGCGTTTCCTGGCCGTTCCATTGAGATCTGTCCACTCAGGCTTCGGCAGCCTTACAGTGGATTCTTTCTTCTCTTCTGATGACAGGAGGAGTTTTTCTTCGGTTGCCTCAGGAATGGCAGGACTTTAAGGCAGATCCATTTTCATCTCTTCAGGGCCGACTGAAAGGACATCACTGTCCTCTACGGTGATTTTGTCTATCCAGAGTTCACAAACTAGCGATTGAGCTCCCCCTCAATCATGCAGTCCTCGGCGCTTGCTGTTCTACCTCAACTTGCAGCAAGAGATATACCGCCTAGGCCCGGTCGCCAGAGCCTCGTTCGTAAGACAACAGGGTACACCAACGAGTAGGTGGGGATGACAGTAGGGCAGGAGTGACTGTGTATTGCGTGATCACTGCCCCATTTGCTACCGCTGGCATTGACCATATAAGACGACTTCCAAGCGGGTATAACGCATACAGTTTGCACAACAAGAAACTTCGACTATGTTAACACTGTGACTCTGCAGTCTAGCATCTGACATGCATACAGTTGAAGCAGATACGATTGCATTGACCGTATAAGATGAGTTTGAAGGCTATATATCAAGTACAAGAGGCAGATGAAGATACATCGACTTCATCGTTATGCACACTATATCACTTTATTCTATCATCATACATTGACATTATTGAAGCAGACAAGTTCACACTGACCATATAAGACGATTTCTAAGCGGGTATAACGCACACAGCCTGCAGAACAAGAAACTTCGACTTTGACTATGTTTACACTGTAACTTTGCAGTCTAGCAACTAACATGCATACAGTTGAAGTGGATACGATGGCAGTGACAGTATGAGATGACTTCGAAAGGTATATAACAAGTACAATAGGCAAATGGATATACATCGACTTCACCGTTGTGCACACTAGATCTCTCCATCCAATCATCTCACGATGAAGTTATTGAAGCAAACAAGTTCGCAATGACCATATGAGACGACTTCCAAGAAGGTATACCGCACACAACTAGCAGAACAAGAAACTTCGACTTCGACTACGTTTACACTGTAACTCTGCAGTCTAGCATTTGACATGCATACAGTTGAAGCAGATACGATTGCAGTGACCGTATAAGATGACTTCGAAGGGTATATAACGGGTTCAATGGGCAAATTAGGATGAATCGACCTCATCGTTGTGCACACTTTATCTCTCTGTCCTATCATCTCACATGGACACTATTGAAGCAGTCAAGTTCGCAATGACCATACGAGACGACTTTTAAGCAGGTATAACGCACACACCTTGCAGAACAAGAAACTTCCACGTCGACTTTGTTTACACTGTCACTCTGCTGTTTAGCATCTGGCATGCATACAGTTGAAGCAGATATGATCGTTGTGACCATATGAAACGACTTCAAAGGGTATATAAGAAGTACAATAGGCAGATGAAGATACATCGACTTCATCGTTGTGCACACTCCATATCTCTATCCTATCAACATTTATTGATGCTATCGAAGCAGACAAGTTCGTGATGCCCATATGAGACGACTTCAAAGCGGAAATAACGCATACAACTTGCACAACAAGGAACTTCGACTCCGACTATGTCTACACTGACTCTCTACCGTTGAGCATCTGACATGCATACAGTTGGAGCAAATACGATGGCAGTGACTGTATAAGACGTTTCTGGAGGGTATATAACGAGAACAATAGGCAAATAAAGATACATCGACTTCATTATTGTGCACACTATATCTATTCCCTATCATCACACATGGACACTATTGGAGCAGACAAGTTCGCATTGACCATATTATAAGACGACTTTCGAGCGGGTATATCGCACACAGCTTGCAAAAAAGAAACTTCAAATTCGACTATGTTCACACTGTAACTCTGCAGTGAAGCATCTGACATGCATACAGTTGAAGCAGATACCATTGATGTGACCGTTTGAGACGACTTTGAAGGGTATATAACGAGTACAATAGGCAAACAAAGATACATTGACTTCATCGTTTTGCACACTATATCTCTCTATCCTATCATCTTACATTGACACTATCGAAGCACACAAGTTTGCATTAACTATATGAGGCTACTCTCAAGCGGGTATAATGCATACAGTTTACAGAACAAAAAACTTCGACTTCGACTATATTTACACTGTAACTCTGCAGTCTAGCATCTGACATGCATATAGTTGAAGCAGCTACGATTGCAGTGACCGTATAAAATGACTTCGAAAGGTATATAACGAATTCAATAGGCTAATGAAGATACATCAACTTCATCGTTGTGCACACTATATCTCTAAATCCTATCATCTCAAATGGACATTATTGAAGCAGACAAATTTTCAATGACCATACGAGACGACTTTCAAGCAGAAATAACGCAAACAGTTTGCAGAACAAGCAACTCCGACGTTGACTATGTTTACACTGTCACTCTGCAGTCTAGCATCTGACATACATACAGTTGAAGCAGATACGATTGCAGTGACCGTATAAGATGACTTCGAAGGGTTAATAAGAGTTCAATAAGCAAATGAATATACATCGACTCCATCGTTGTGCACACTCTATCTCTCTATCCTATCATCTCACATGGACACTATTGAAGCAGACAAAATTGCATTGACCATATGAGGCGACTTTCAAGCGGGAATAACGCATACAGTTTGCATAACAAAAAACTTCGACCTCGACCATGTTAACACTGTTACTCTGCAGTCTAGCATCTGACATACATACAGTTGAAGCAGATACGATAGCAGTGACCGTATAAGATGACTTCGAAGGGTATATAAGAGTTCAATAAGCAAATGAATATACATCGACTCCATCGTTGTGCACACTATATCTTTCTAGGCTATCATCTCACATGGTCACTATAGAAGCAGACAAGTTCGCGATGACCATACGAGACGACTTTTAAGCAGGAATAACGCACACAGCTTGCAGAACGAGGAACTTCGACGTCGACTATGTTTACACTGTCACCCTACTGTCTAGCATCTGACATGCATACAGTTGAAGCAGATATAATCGTTGTGACCATATGAGACGACTTTGAAGGGTATATATCAAGTACAAGAGGCAGATGAAGATACATCCACTTCATCGGTGTGCACACTCTATATCTCTATCATATCAACTTACATGGATACCATTGAAGCAGACGAACTTCTGAGTTTCTGATGCCGATATGAGACGACTTCAAAGCGGGTATAACGCACACAACTTGCACAACAAGAAACTTTGATTTCGACTTTGTTCACTCTGTAACTCTATCGTCTAGCATCTAACATGCATACAGTTGAAGCAGACACGATTGCAGTGACCATATAAGACGAGTTCTAAGCGGGTATAACGCACACAGCTAACAGAACAGGAAACTTTGACTTTGACTATGTTCACACTGTAACTCTGCAGTCTAGAATCTGACATGCATATAGTTGAAGCAGATACGATGACATTGACCGTATAAGATGACTTTGAAGGGTATATAACGAGTTCAACAGGCAGAAGGGTTTACATCGACTTTATCGTCGTACACACTATATCTCCCTATCCTATCATCTTACATGGACACTATCGAAGCAGACAAGTTCTCATGGACCATAGAAGTTGACTTCCGAGCGAGTATAACGCACACAGTTTGCAGAACAAGAAACATCAATTTCGACTATGTTAACATTGTAACTCTGCAGTCTAGCATCTGTCATGCATAGAGTTGGAGCAGATATGATCGCAGTGACCATAAAATAAGACTTTGGAGAGTATATAGAAAAAACAATAGGCAGATGAAGATACATCGACTTCATCGGTATGCACACTCTATATCTCTATCCTATCAACATACATGGATACTATTGAAGCAGACGAGTTACCGATGCCTATATAAGACGACTTCAAGGCGGAAATAACGCACACAACTTGCACAACAAGAAACTTCGACTTCGACTATGTCTACACTGACTCTCTGCCGTTGAGCATCTGACATGCATACTGTTGAAGCGAATACGATGGCAGTGACCGTATAAGACGACTCTGAATGGTATATAACGTATACAATTGACTAATGGAAATTCATCGACTTTATCGGTGTGCAAACTCCATCCTTATCATCCCACATAAATACTATTGAAGCAAACGAGTTCGCAATGCCCATATGGAACGACTTTTAAGCGGGTATAATGCACACGACTTGCAGAACAAGAAACTTCGACTACGACTATATTCACACATAAACTCTGCTGTTCAGCTTCTGACATGCATACAACTGAAACAGATATGTTTGCAGTGACCGTATGAGACGGCTTCAGAGTGTATATAGCAAGTAAAATAAGCAGATGAAGATACATCAACTTCATCAAAGTGCACACTCTATCTCTCTATCCTATCATCCCACATGTACACTATTGAAGCAGACAAGTTCGCATTGACCATATGAGACGACTTCCAAGCGGGTATATCGCACAGAGCTTGCAGAACAAGAAACTTCTAATTCGACTATGTTTACACTGTAACTCTGCAGTCTAGCAACTGACATGCATACAGTTGAAGCAGTTACCATTGCAGTGACCGTTTAGGACGACTTTGAAGGGTATATAAAGAGTACAATAGGCAAACGAAGATACATCGACTTCATCGTTTTGCACACTATATCTCTCGATCCTATCATCTTACATTGACACTATCGAAGCACACAAGTTTGCATTGACCATATAGCAAAACAAGATACTTCGACGTCGACTATGTCTACGCTGACTCTCTGCCGTTGAGCATCTGACATCTCACGTGGATACTATTGGAGCAAACAAATTCGCAATGCCCACATCAGAGGACAACTTGCAGAACAAGAAACGTCGACTCCGACTATATGTTCACACATAAACTCTGCAGTCCAGCTCCTGACATGCATGAAGTTGAAGCTGATATGATCGCAATGACCATATGAGACGTATTTGGAGGGTATATAGAGAGTACAATAGG